TTAGTAATTAATTTTTGAAATAAAATAAATAAGTGGCGATAAATAATATAAATAGATTAAAAAAAATTAAAAAATAGTAGGTAACAATTAATCTTGGTTGATTTAAGGCTATTGAGACTCCCAAAAAGAGACCTCATCATACACTTCATTATTGTACCTAATTTAGATCGGATTGAATAATTGAATAATTGGATCACATCTTAAGACCAAATTCCCAAGAAGTCATTGTTACGAAATAGTAGTCTCTTCGTCAACGATAAAAAAAATTCCTATACCACTACCCTTTGATTTGCGTATGTGGTCACAACAATTAACATTTTGTATTTGCACCGTGAGTACAATCTACACAAATAAATTTTTTACACTGAAGAAATCCATCAATGCATGATTTGAATACCCAAAATACGTACTTGAATGTCTTATAAATCGGATCAAAGGTATCTGTAATCTTTGCATCTTATATGCATATATCTCATCTCCCGATGCCTTAAGACCACTTTATGTTTTATGATATAGTATTGACAACTAAATATTTCATGAATTTTACTCACATGATGCTTAATTTTTATTTATGGATTGTCTCGAACACTAATGAGAAATGCAATTGCAATTACACCCTCACTCAAGTTAGCATGTAAGTTGGAATTTGAGCTCTAAGCATATTTTGAAATACACCACAAATTCATATTGCTTCTTAAAATTCCTCGTAATTACCACAAGCATCCTCGCCCTCTATGTTTGCTTTCCACAATCCACTTTGATGGTCTGCTCTCCATAATTACATACTCTTATTAGACAATCTTGGTACTAAAACATTTCACTGCTATTTGAATATGTTTTTTTCAATTTAAATAGCACCTTTAAGCCAATGTTGATAAAAATTTCCACAACTAGCGGATGATATGTCAATTCTATCAGCAAGATGTAAAGTTGAGAAAAATAAAATTCCAGATAAGTACACATCTTCCACATTCAAGATGAGTTGAAAATCGGTACATGTATAGTAGGTGCAACAATCCTTCATCCAGTATAGACACTAGGTACGTTTGTCTTCATAGAAATACTAACAACATTATCTTCAACCCCACCTTCATCCATATCATTGTCGTCATCCTCAAAATATACATTGTCATTCATATTTGGATCGATCTGAACATATGTTGCAATATTTGGAACATGATCACCGACAACACTCGTAGATGTCTCACCGTCATAGTGTTCACAATCAAAATATGTACTTGCAACTGAAATTTTTCGCATATATTTGGTGATTACAAGAAATGAAGCCCTTTTTTCAGTTAGATACATGAAATAACTACTTTATGTGGATTCATTATTGATATCTCGGGGATAAAATTGAGAATTTTGTTGTTCCGTATCAACATATAAATCTACTTTATGCATACCTTGTTGGGAGCTAAAAAAAAATACATTTTCATCATCACAAACACGTAGGGTATATCTTTGTTGGGAGATAAATATTTTATGCACTTTTATAGAATATTGAGTACTATAAACATTTAACTTTGAAATTCAAAATAAATAAAAAAAAAACTACTAAATTAGAATAAGGTATAGTCGGGGATATAGATTAATAACATATAATATGGACATTATATCTAATATTTTTACTTTATTCAATAATATCAACCCTGCACAAAACAAATACTCCATCCGTCTCGGTGCAAAAGGGCCCTTTGGGGTTTTATTGTAAATTAAAAAATAATAGTATTTTATTAGTTAGTGGAAGTGTGTAAGAGGTTTTGACATTTTTACCCTTATGTAAAAAATAATTGTATTTGTAATAGTATGTTTGTAATTTAGGTCAAATTTAAGGGTATTTTGGTATTGTGTTATGATTACTTTTATTAAAATAAGAAAGAGATACTTTGAAATGAGACGGACAAAAATTGTAAAAATGATACTTTGAGTTGGGACAGAGGGAGTATATTTATTTGATTCGGTACAATAGAACAACTGGAACAAAAAATGAAGAAAATGCAAAAGGTATGATGATTAGAATGAAGTGTCGGTAATACTCGCTACTTGAAGTGGCGAGTTCTACCACATTAGTAGAGCTAACCACTTTAATTAAGTTGTGTGTTTTGATTGTGCGACAGATAAAATAGTTGTTTACTGCCACATCAACTAAATTTGACACTTAGTGTGGTATGTAGTTGATGTGGTGACAGTGTATGCCACATCAGCTAAACTCACAGGGGACGAGGTGGAAGGATTTTTCACGTCAAGTTTTTCTAACATAAAATACATCGAGTTTTACCAATATTAAAATGTAAGAAATACCCAAACCCTCATATTTGAGTCGAGTTCAAGGTATGTAGGAAATTACCTATAAAATATTGGGTCAATTAAGCTAACGAAGAGCTCCGGCCTTGGAGATACGAAGAACAACGAGGAACCTAAAAAAGACTCCTGAAGGTGCTGTTTAATTATTCTATTCTAATTATAGGTAGCACTATCTATCACCGGTATCCGCATCCTATGAAAACCTTTGGAAATGAGTGGAGGGAATTAGCCGGCGGATCACAGGTGTTGTTGGGAGGCGTTTGAGTGAAGAGGAAGAATGTTGTTGGAAGAAATTTAAAGATGAACAAGTTTGCTCCTAATGAGGTTATTACACAATTTACTATATTGTCTATCTCATTAATTCATGAGCTTTGACTATTGTATTTTTGGATTTAATCGGGCTATAGTGAGCAAAGTGGATGGAAAAAATCAAATACGATAATATCAATAGCTAAAATTACGATCTTTAAAATACAAGCAAAAAATGATAATTTTTTAGGTGAATTAATTAATGTATTACATTTAGTCCCAAACTTTACAACTAATTATATTATACCCTTGTTAGAGCATCGGCAATACATATACCCATTGTAGGGTATTTCTACAATTTTTTAAAGTTTAAATAATTTTATCTTTTTACTGTGTCTGGGGATATTTGGAGTTTGTTTGTTTTGTAAAATAATTTTAATGAATATTTTTTTTTTATGTGAAGTATAAAATTATATAGATAATATAAAAATATTATATTTTTATTATATTAATTAATTAATTTTTTTTTTGAAAAATATGTGTTTATTTTTTTGACAAAACAAAAAAAAAAAAACATTTATTTATTTATACCTACAACTAAAAATTCCTCCCAAAATTTTCTAATAATTTTTCTATCCCGCAATAACATTACATATATTGCTTTCTTAAAAAAAAAAAAATCATATTTTTATTAATCAATGATAAATTAATACTTTATATTATGGACAATATGTAATTTATTAAGATTTATGATTATTTTATTCAATAAATTAAATTATTTTTAATGGTTAATTTATTTAATAAAATAAATTTATATTTATCTTTAAATATTTTAAAATTTTAATTAAAAAAATATTCAATATTTATATTGTTTTGTATTCAATATTTATATTATTTTGTAGAATACAAACTTTTATACATTACAAAAATATTTAAAAAATTAAATTATAATATTCTCATGATCTCATTTTTATTGGAGTTGCATTTTTTACACCATAACCCCGTAAATGGAGTTGTGGCCCTCTAATCATGTACAACACCGTTTATGGTGTTTGTTATAGCTCTGTGTTATTTATTTTTATTTTTATATAATTTTTTTATTTTGATATTAATAACATACAAACCAGTTAATATAGAAAGTGGTTTAAAATTGCATTTTTAATGTATTTATGGTGTTTGTTATAGTTCTGTGTTATTTATTTTTATTTTTATATAATTCTTTTATTTTGATATTAATAACATGCAAGTCAGTTCATATAGAAAGTGGTTTAAAGTTCATATATAGAAAGTGGTTTAATATTGTATAAATAGAGTTCGTGAATTAGGATGAGTCGAACCAAATAAAATTTTAGATATTAGTCTTCATTTGTTAAATTAACAAACAAGATTCGTGTTCGTTCGTTAAATATTCGAGCTCGGCTCGTTAAACGATTTTGTTGTTTGAGCTCGTTTCGTGTTAGCTCGGTTAGACTCGATTAAACTACGAATAAAAAAGATTGAAACTTTAAAATTTTGACAAACACAGGGAAGGGAAAGACAGAACGAGAGCAAAGAAAAATGCAAAGACTTTATTGCTCGTACCTTCTCAACAAGACAACGACATAGATGAGTAAGAGGTGACACCTGCGAGTCAACAGTGCTTACCGATTGGAGACAAAAGGAAGGTGACGCCTGCGACTCGGTGATGTTGGACAGCGTTATTGACAAGTCGAGTATTTGTCGTTGTCGTCCGCCGCTGCCGGAGTTTTCGCCGTCCACCGAACTGGATTTGAAAAAAAGAAAAAAGCCCATGTCAAACATAGCCGTGTACATAATACACACAGCCGTGTTAAAATCTGAGTTAGAAGACAATATGATCTGCATTTAAACACGGGCGGATTTTACGGGTATGTTTTATAAAACACGCCCACGTTCCACCTAAGGAGATTTGTGAGCCACTACGCCTTTCTTTTTCTTCTCTTCCAAAAGCTTACCTCGACACATCAGGAAGTAGGGGTGAGTACGGTCGGTTATTTGTAAATATGCAGGTATTTGATAATCAAATCGAACTGGATAAATACCTGAAATTGCAAACCGAATCCGAACAAAAAATCTCGGTTAACTGAAAATATTTACAGTATTTGCAAATAACTCGAACAGAATCGAAATTAAGAAAAATATATAAAAAAATAATCAAAATTCTAATTAAATAAAAAATATTTCAAATATCCGAACCGAAACCGAACTGAAATCGAACCAAACAAATATCTAATATGAAGTATTTGTATTCGAATTGAATTTGCTCAGTTAACCAAAAATTTTGTTCGATTAAATTCGACGGTTCGATTCGATATTTTTATCCACCACTGCCCGGAAGAGGAGGAAACGATGGCAATTTTATAAATTGGCCACTGTGTGTGCTCTAATTGCTCTAAGAGGTGGATGACATATGACAGTTGCTGCTATTAACCCAAATAATAATATTATTCATCAGTAAACCATTCCACACACATAGAAAACAAACTCAGTTCACATTTCTGGACTTCCTTCCAAACCAAATATACATAAAAACATACCCTTATAATCCTCAAACTCCTTCCTTACTCCCTACTCCTTGTAGCACTTATCTCCATCACATACCCACTGCCCTTCGCCTTCGTCTTTGCCTTTCCCTTTGCCTTCGTCTTCGTTCTCCTCCTCGAGCGCACACTTGGGGTGGAGATCGTAGTCGCACGTCTCACAAAAGTACGACCACACGTGCCCATTCTCCTCGCACCCATCGCACACAAAAAAGTGTCGCTTCGAAAGAACAAGCTCATGGCTGTGAGCCGCAGTCTTCGATTTCTTCGGCCAGCCCTCCGCCATTTTCTCGTACCCAGCCTCGATCTCCTCGATCTTTTCCGGCGTAAATGGATATGCTTCAGCACCATGACACATTATGAGCTCCCGCGCCTCGGTCGTCACCGTCTTTCCATTCGGTCCGATCGCAACCACCATCGGAATGCCGCGCAGCTTGAAGAACTGCCCCAAAGATTGCACCCTTCCATCGCCAAACGGGAGAGCCAGCCACGGCATCGTCGAGAAGAATTCATCAAACGACGTTTGATCTCTGTCCCTCGAGATGAATACGACTTCCATCACTTTCCCGTTTTTGTTTATGTCGTCATACGCATCCCTCAGCTTTGGAAGAAATGCGCGGCAAGGGGGGCACCAGTGCGCCGAAAAGTAAAGCAGGACAGTTCTCCCGACTAGATCAGACACTGGAACCTGAAAAAACGAACAATTTCCTCATCAACAAATAAAAATCGATCCAAACTCATGTGTAATAAACTTCATAGCATCCTCGACGTGTACTCGCCTTGCTCCCATCTTTACCAATCACAAAATCACAATCATCGGACACCAAAAGGGATTCAAGCGTTTGCGCATCCCTCTTAGCCTTTTCTAGCTCGGAAAGTTTCTCAGGCGTGAACGGATAGGCCTTTTCTCCATGCTCTACGATCGCATCAGAAACATCCGGATGACGGGTCTTCCCATCGGGTCCAATTATTACCAAAGTTGTAAAGCTTTGTAACTCAAAATACCGAATGAGCTTCCCGCGTAAACTATCCTTGACAGGCAATGAAAACCAAGGAATTTGCTCGAATGCTTCGACAAACGATTGCTCGTCATCATCGAGCGGTACCATTACAATCTCAAAGCTCTCCCCTTTTTCTTTCAAGCTCGTATACACTTTTACGAGCTTCGAAGTAAAAGCCTGGCATTCTTCGTAGGCGGCCAGTGCAAAATACAAGCCCACCGTCTTACCTTCGAGCTCGGAAATGGCGACCTGTCATTGCACAAACAACGTAAGAGAGACAACACATCGAAAAGTCCAAAATCGAAATATAACCGACGAAGAAACACCTTTCGGCCGTCGCTTGCAATCACATAGTCCCTGGATTGGGATACTAAGAGGGACTTGAGTGACTGATTCCTCTTAGCTTCCTCGTCTTGCTCCTTGAGTTCGTCGATCCGTTTCGACGTAAATGGGAATCCTGCAGCTCCATAGTCCTGGATGATTTGCACTCCTTCATCACTCAAAACTTTGCCATTCTCATCCAGGAGGACGAGGTGAGGTATTCCGTTGACAGAAAACAACTCATCCATTCGATCGCGAGTCTCTGAATCAGAATACGGAACTGCAAGCCATGGCATCTTTGAGAAATACTCTTCGAAGGATTCGTTATCTTCATCGGCAGAGCAGAAGATAATCTCGAACTTGTTGTTCGTCTTGAGCTCGTTGTAAAGATCGATCAAAATTGGGGTGAATCGCCGGCAAGGACCGCACCACGATGCCGAGAAATACAATCCAACTACTTTCCCCCTCAATTGATCGGCTTTGATCTGCAAGTACAAGAGGATTCAATCAACAATCGCTACATATGAAATGGAATAAAATCGACTATTTGTGGGTTTAACAGTTAGGTCAAATTACTGAAGAAGAACACTCAGCATCAACATTGGTAGTCGTGAAACCTTAATCCGAACCCTAATTCTAAAAGATCCCCAAAATCTAGCGCACAAATAGATAATTATTTACCTGGTCGCCATTGCTGCGGATCAAGTAATCCCTGCTTTCCGAGAACAAAATGGAACCAACATCGTGTATCCTCTCAATCTCAACATTTCCTTCGCTCGCCATCGCGCACTGTTGAAACCACCGAACCACAACTGGCTTAAAGAAAACGCTTCTTGGTAGAGACAATCAATCACTAAATTAAACGCAGTCTAAATATCTACGAGATCATTCGTCAATTCTTGGAGAAGAAGCAACTGAAGGGGCCTACACGGGAAGTGATTCTTCGACGCAATTTCTCCGGTACGAGAATTTTTTTCGGGTTCGGTTCGGGTCAATGGAACAGCCAAAGACCAAAGTGCAGAAAGTGGGAAAAAGATGCTTTCTTTAATATCGATTTTTTGCTCGCGAGTCAGTCAATGTGGGCCACAAAATTTGTAGTTACAACGAGGAAGATGGAGAATTCTTTTCACACGATGGCGATTTCTAGTGGAAGCCATGGATGGAATGGAAAGGAAGCAAAAGGACGATTGATTATTAATCTCTGTTAAGGAATTAATTAATTATAACTATTTATGCATCTTTTTTATGCTTTTAGGAGCATAATGGTTGCCTTCTTTATTCAGCATCGAATAGGGAGCAAAAGCAAACAGCAATAATATTTCAAAAGCAGGCCTCTTTACGCTGTTTTCTATTACGGTGTGTTTGTTTGGAGGTTTGGATTTTGAGTTGAGATTTGAATAATAAAAATTTTGAAATAAAATAATTGTATACTTTGATATAGATAGATATTGATATGATGTTTTAAATGTAAAATTAATTTTTAATATAATATAAAAAATAAAAAATAACTATTTGATTCGATATTTTTGGAGAAAAAAAAATTAATGAATAATAATTTTGGGATAGAATCACATGACCAAACACACCCTAATACTTACTTATACTCGACTAAATTCTTAATTCCCAAATCTAAGGGTGTGTTTGTTAAATAAAATTATTTCAAGAAATATTTTTTCAACGCGCAAAGTATAAAAAATTATATAGATAGAGTATAAAATTAATAAATATATATAAGAGTGAGAACAAGAAAGTGAGAGAGGATATAAGATTGATTTGAAATTTATATATTTTAAAATTATATTTTTGTATTTATCAATTTTATTTATTTAAAAGTAAAAAATATAAAGTATATCTAAAATTAACTTTTATTTCATTATTATATTAATTTATTATAGAATATTTTTTAAAATAGTATACTCAAATACTCTTTAAATATAATTTCATAATATTCAGAAATTTATTAGCTTATATTTAAATTTAACTTTTTTAATATCTTAGTATATTTTTTTGTACAATATATAATTTTATAAAAATTATAAAATAATATAAAAAATTAAATAACATAAATAAAAATTACTACAAGAAAAAATCATTTTTGTAACAAACTTTTTTTTGTCTTTAAATCTACTTTTTTCGTTACTAACGACATTAGAGACGAAATTAGTAATTGAATTATGTTAGCTACGAAATTAGTAATTGAATTATGTTAGCTACATGAACTTTAGGGACGGAATTCCGTTACAAATATATTATTATTTTTTTTTTTTGTAGTGAATTAACTTCAAATATGTTTTATACAAATATATTAAAGTATTTTTTATTACTCCAAAAATTAAAATAAATAAATATAAAAAATCAAACGCTTGAAATACTAAAATTATTTAAATATAATATATTTTTTGCAAAATTTATAAAATAAAATAATAAAATTTTAAAAATAATAATATGAATAAAATTAAATATGAATAGAATTTCTATTTTTTTTACATTATTCTTTTTTAAAATATTATATTACATATATATTTAAAATAATAGATATAAATGTTACATTAAAAAATAATTTAAATAGTAATTTGTATAATATTTTATTTATAAAATTATATTAAAATAGTATTGACTGTAATATTTGAAAAAAAATTTAAAAAAAAATATTTTTATGATTAACTAATATAATAATTAAAATTAAAATTAATTTGAATGAAAAAATAAATAAATTATATTCTTATGGTGATATAATATAATAATAAAAATAAACATTAATTTGAATATAATTAATTTTGAGGGAAGTGAATTAATAAGTAAGAAAGATAGTTATTTAAAGGGAAAGTTGGATTAAAATTTATATCACATAAATTGACTTGCAATACAATCCTTATTTGAAGTCAATTAGACTGTAGGCTCTTTTATGAATTAAGTATATTATAGCTCTCCAATTTGTATTTTTTTCAATTAATATTGTATTTGCAACAAATATTCGAAATAGGTTGATCAATACTTCAAATGTTGTAATTTATACTTACATTGCTTCCCGCTCCACCCCTATTATAACCGTATATACTTCTAGTCAAATATCGCGTATATTTTTTTGCGAATAAAAAAAAAAACAGTTACCCATGTTTTAACAAGGGTTGAGGCAGGAAACTCTCCATAACTCTCATCACCCCGATTTTAAACTCTACATCTTCCATCTTTAGACAAATCGATGTTCTTTAACCCCTAGCGATCAAATAGCGACCGATCTGTGCAAAAATAGTGAAGAAAATAACTGACATGCTCCTATCCCCCCGACAAGCTCGAAGAAATAAGTGCCTGATCGGACCTTTTTCGATTTTTTATTATGTTGACATTAGTATTTTATGTCGTAGTTTGTTTGATTATTTGGGGTGTAAGTCTTGGTCCCGTGTTTGTATGTCTTAGTTTGGTATTGAGGAGCCCTGGGTGATTGGTGTAGATGTGTTTGTTAATTGGATTTGAAATTGTTCATATGTTTGCCCACATAGATCGGGTTGGGTGTTTTATTTTCGCACCAATTTGGGTTATTTTATTTTTTTAATCTGTGACTTTAGTTACTTTTGTAAATGTACATTTTTTTTAGTTATTTGTAATTGCATATTTTAGTTATTTGTTTGATTGTTAAGTAATTAGTCATGTTTGTGGATTGAAAATGTAGTATTGTTAGGTACCCCGAGTTGCATCTTTTAGATCTAGTTTGCTAAGAGTATACTTTTAGGGGAGTATTGTGCACTCGGAATGTATTGTTACGTACTCCTGATAGATTTTGATAAATTTTTAAATAAATTCGAGATTTGGGTAATATGGACTGATGATATTTATTTACAGACCGTAGGTCGGGTTGTGCTTGAGTGCATTTCAGTGCGTGATCCGTTCGGACACGCGAAAAACTTAGTGCGTTTATGAAATAAATATAATTAATTGACTGTGGATAAATCGAACTACGTAACAAAATATTGTGTTATTTTTCCAGACGTGCTTTTTATGCTTGTACGGTGATACCTGAACGTAGTACACCTATGGCCCATGGTGAGGAAGACGCGCGAGTACGTAAGATATCGGCATTAAGGTGACACTCTCGACTCGGTCCTTTGGTCTGCATGTTCGCCAAACGTTACGCCTACGCGAATCCAGAAATCCATCTCATTTGTGGCATTAAGGCGAGTTTGATAATGTGAAGAGCTACTACGGTAAAATTGCGGCTAGAATAATGAAAGGTCCATCCTCCGAACCGTAGACTTCGATGAGCAGCACAAGGTAAGTGAACGTCTGTAATGAATTTAAGATTGATTAGGGTTGTGTTATTTGCGTTTGATTTGGGTAATGTGTTATTTTTTTTTTATTGAATTGTTGGTTGAATGGGTTTGATTGGTCTCCATTTCGATAGGATTGTATTAAGATTGATTGAGGGATTGAATCATGGGGTGAATTTGGTGAAACTTAATGTTTGGAGTAATGCTATCAATTGTGCCGTGAATGATTGTATGATTAATTCTTCACATGGTTAGAATTGGAATATGCACAACATGTACCTCCACAAGGGATCGATGTACCTGTTTAACTAGATCGAAATACCTTCAATATATATATATGCTCATATATATGTTATCCATTAGTTAGGAAGGTTATCCTTTTACGAAGACAACAACGAGCCAAAAAAGTTATGCACACTTCTCTTAAATTGAAATTAACTAATTCATTACAAGACGTTGTAATGGTTGAAGTAATGTCTGCAATGAACAAAAGTGCATTTACGAATACTTGAATACATTAGTGGTGCACCTAAGAAGAAAAACATATAAATGTATTGCAAATATTTATGCCCTCCCAGTCGCTTCCATTTCTCTCAACCACCAATAAAGTGAGGAAGTGCTAATAGAAGAAGTATTTTCACCGAATTCCTTAATTGCCTCATCCGTCTAGGGATTGAGTGAAGTCGATCACATTCAAATATACCTGCTACTATATAAATAATACCTAAGCGGTCACCAATCATACATTAATTGCCAATGCTCGTACCCACAACATATTGTTACATACTTGCATTAAATATTAACATACCCCAAAGTAGTTTTTATGTACCTATAATACAATTTCATATACTCCAGTAACGAGTATTTATTCCTTGGTAACTTGTTCTTAAAAATTGATCATTCTGAATTCGAAACATTCAATTATTTTTGGTAATCATGGATGAATTCATCATTATAGTGTTCTCGCAAATCCTAGAACTATATGAAAAGATAAACAACACATATTTACTATGAATTGATAAACAAGATAGAAGATACTTAGTTGGGATGATGTTGAAAATATAAGAATAATACAAGTTCTAGGATACAATCTATTATGCATCAATATATCCATAGTTTCATTATAGTCCAAACAAGTCTCATTCCTGTATAATTGTGTAATTGAAAATAAATTTAATCTCATAAAAATACTATTGACACGATCAATAATTTTAATAAAGTAATCCTGGAAAGTACTATATACCAACATGTTAATGGTAACCAGGGATGAATTAAACAAGATAAACTTTTTTGATCAATTTATGGAGAGTATTAACACACAAATGTATATGTTTACAAAAATCCAATAGGGAAACACTATCATACATCATTGCTCTCATGTATCTCTATTAGAGCTGAGTCAAATAATTATGGATTTGCTTATCATTTCAAAATGTAATTAAAATTGAGCTGGATAAAATTTATATAATATTTTTTTTAAAAAAAAAAGTTAAATTGAATACACTGTATATATAATCATTTTGACCGGATTGTTATTATTTACCACTTATTTTAACTGTACCCCCGGGCATCTTGGGGTCACGTGACAGGCACACGCACTCCGAGAAGAGTGAGTTTTACTCGGCTTTGGTGGACTCCTCACCCCTAGTTAAAATTTTTTACCCCACGAGACGCGGCGACGCGTGGCTGCCAGCTGCTGGAATTCTAGCGCCACCACAGCCAGGCCGGTAGCTACCATGTCGGACTTTTTCATTAGATATTTTCCATTTAAT